AGGAGAAGAGGGGAGGAGAAGGAAGATGAAAGGGTGAAGTTTATCTACCTATTAGTCTCTGTTAACTCCCTAAAGTCCTGTATTGAACAGGTCTGGTCCATTTATAGAAATGAGATCATAAGGGCTGGGAAGGTGGCTCAGTGGTAGAGTGCTTGCCTTGCATGCCTGAGGCCCTGGGTTCGATTCCTCAGCACCACATAAGCAAAAAAAAAAAGAAAAAAGCCCAAGTGGCGCTGTGGCTCAAGTGGTAGAGTGCTAGCCTTGAGCTGAAGAGCTAAGGGACAGTACCCAGGCCCAGAGTTCAAGCCCCACGACCCACCAAAAAAAAAAAAGGAGCAGCAAATTTTCTCAAAGTAGTACTTCGTGTGTGTGTGTGTGTGTGTGTGTGTGTGTGTGTGTGTGTGTGTGTGTGTGTGTGTGTGTGTGTGTGTGTGTGTGTCCAGAACTTGAACTCATTATCTGACACTTTTGTTCACTGCCTAGCGCTCTACCACCTGACCTAGGCCTCCAAGACCTCCAAGTAGTACTTCTTTATGTGCACATTTATTAAAGGTTTACAGGAACTAAGATTGTTGTAAAAGTCACAAGATTTCTATAGAATCAAATATTGCAAATAAATATTTTAAAAAAGTTACAAAGCAAAAAGAAAAAAGCCGGAAGTGGCGCTGTGGCTCAAGTGGTAGAGTGCTAGCCTTGAGCTGAAGAGCTGAGGGACAGCGCCCAGGCCCAGAGTTCAGACCCCACAACCGGACCCCAAAAAAAAATAATTAAAAAAAAAAAAAAGTTACATTGTTGTCCTCTCCCTGTATCGGAAGAGAGAAGTAAATTACCGTAACTATTTTATCTTTCACTTGACAAAGTTGTTTCTAGGCCAGTCTTTTTTGTTTATTTTCACACTTGGAATATTTGGGAGTTCCACTGCCTACTCCCCAAAAAAAAAAGAAAGGAAAAATCATCTCCAGGATTAAATTAGTATTTAACACCTACAAAATTATAATTTCTCTCTTCTAAAAGGAAAAGAAACTCTAATGGGGTTTACAAGATATGCAACTAAGGCAGTCTTAAATTCTTATTTTCAACCTTATATCAGCAGCATGGTATTAACCCCAGGATGATAAGCTGTACCAACCTTTTTTTTTTGTCCGTTAGCTTAATTTAGAACTTCAGATATTTTACTATAAGTGTTGATCTTTCACTTCTGTAAGGGTTGATCTTTTTTTTTTTTTTTTTGTCGGTCGTGGGGCTTGAACTCTGGGCCTGGGCGCTGTCCCTCAGCTCTCCAGCTCAAGGCGAGCGCTCTACCACTTGAGCTACAGCGCCACTTCCAGTTTTCTGGTGGTTTATTGGAGATAGGAGTCTCACGGTCTCTCTTGCCCGGGCTGGCTTTGAACCGCGATCCTCAGATCTCAGCCTCCTGAGTAGCTAGGATTACAGGCGTGAGCCACCAGCGCCCGGCTTGGGTTAATCTTTATCCTAAATTACAAACAATGTAAAAGCAAAAACGTCTACCCTCTGTATACTAAAGTTGTACTCAGTCTTTTGTTTGTTTGTTTTTTGGGTCCGGTCATGGGGCCTGAACTCTGGGCCTGGGCGCTGTCCCTCAGCTCTTCAGCTCAAGGCTAGTGCTCTACCACTTGAGCCACAGTGCCACTTCCGGCTTTTTTCTTTTTGCTTATGTGGTGCTGAGGAATCGAACCCAGGGCCTCAGGCATGCAAGGCAAGCACTCTACCACTGAGCCACCTTTTCAGCCCCTGTACTCAGTCTTAAGCTCCTCCAACCACAAAAGAAAAAAGGAGAATTTAAGGGAAGGAAATAGGATAGGCTGGATACTAGTGGCTTATGCATAATCTCTGATAGTCAGGAGTCTGAGATCTGAGGATGGTAGCTGGAAGCTAGGTGAGGCAGCAAAATCTGTGAGACTCTTATCTCCAACCACCAAAAAACTACAAGTGGAGCTGTGGCTCGAGTGGTAGGGAGCTAGCCTTTAAAAATAAAACAAAACAAAATTCAGGGACAGTGCCCAGGCCCTGAGCTTATCAAGTCCCAGGACCAGCACAAAAAGAAAGAAAAAGAAAATGGGGGGAGGGGCCTCAGAAGGTGGCTCAATGGTAGAATGCTTGCCTTACATGCATGAGGCCCTGGGTTCGATTCCTCAGCACCACATAAACAGAAAAGGCTGGAAGTGGTGCTGTGGCTCAAGTGGTAGAGTGCTAGCCTTGAGCTGAAGAGCAGAGAGACAGCACCAAGGCCCAGATTTCAGGCCCCACGACCAAAAAAACAAAACCAAAAACAAGAAAATGGGATAGGTACAGTGGCTCCTAATTGTAAACCCAGCTATGTAGAAGGCATAGTAGAAATATTGAGGTTTGAGGGGGAGGGGAAGAATGGCCAAAAAAAATCACAAACTATTGGAAAAATAACTAAATCAAAAAGAGCTTAGGATCTGGTAAAATAAGAAATAAGAAAAACAAGTTAGCCAGGCTCTGGTGGCTCACACCTGTAATCCTAGCTAAAGGCTGAGATCTGAGGATTGCAGTGAAAAGCCAGCCCAGGCAGGAAATTCCATGAGACTCCTATCTCCAGTTAACCACCAGAAAACCAGAAGTGGTGCTGTGGCTCTAGTGGTAGAGCACTCACCTTGAGCTGAAGAGCACAGGGACAGTGCTCAGGCCCAGAGTTCAAGCCCCATGACTGACCAAAAAAAAAAAAGGAAAGGAAAGGAAAGGAAAAGAAAAGCAAGTTAATCACATCTACCTAGTTAATAACTTTCATAAATCTTTTAATCTGTCCTCTACCTTAATTACCACACTTGATTCCTATAAATAACAGGCTATGCTAGAACTAGATAAAATAATTTTATCTATAATTAGAAATTATTCTGGAATATAGCCTGCTGTCCTGACTTGACAAATCCAATAATCACTTAATTTAGGTCTCCACTTACCAGGATTTCAGGACAATCACATGACTACCTACTGTAAGGAAAAAACAAAAAACAGACTAAGCCAAGTGCCAGTGGCTCACCCTATAATACAGACTACTAAGGAGGCTGAGATCTAAAAATTGAGGTTCAAACCCAGTCTTGGCAAGAAACTCCATAAGCACCAATTAACCATGAAAAACCTGGAACTGGAGCTGTGGCTCAAGTGGTAGAGTACTAGACTTGAGCAAAAAGTTCAGGGACAGTGCTCACACCTTAAGTTCAAGCCCTAGTACTAGCACCCCCTTCCTCCCTCCCCCAAAAAAGGTAATTTTTTAAGTTTATAAATGTCTACAATGTCAACAGAAAGATTCCAAGAAACAGAAATGTTCTATCACCGAGGTGGAAGGTGTTTTTTGTTCCTTTTATTTTTAACTGTAAACTGTTTTGTTTTGTTTTTTTGCTTTTCTGTGGTTGTGTTGTTAGTCATGGGGCTTGAACTCAGGGCCTGGGCACTATTTCTGAGCTCTTTTTGCTCAAGACTAGCACTCTACCAATTTGAGACACATCTTTATTTCTGGTTTTTCTGGAGAAGAGTCTCAAGGACTTTCCTAGGAGCCCAAGCTGGCTTTGAAACAGGATCCTTACATCTTATAGTCTCCTAAGTAGCTAGGATTACAAGAGTGAGCCACCAGGGCCCAGCTTGGAAACTGTTTTTCAGATTGTGAATTCTCTACCACACATATGTAACATCTATCAAAAACTAAGTAATTTCAAGGTAAAACAAATCACATTTAATATAATGATTAAGATATATGTAATGAAAAGGCAGAATCCCTTCAGTCTAATCAAAAGGAACATAGCCACCAGTAAAACTCAGCAAGAAAATAAGTAAGAAGACCTAGTTCAGTACAGATACCAATACCCCAACGGCTAAAGATGAGAGATCTAAGAAAAAATAGCCTAGATGATAAATGATAGGTAAAGGGACCTTTCAGGATCAAAGCAGAATAACATCTAGAATTGTCAAGACTGTAAAGGGCCAGTTACACTAATACATTTCTGTTTGTGCCAATTAACTTGCTAATAGTCAAAAAGGTAAAATCAGAAATGATGGATTGGATATTCCAGTGGGGAATTCTGAATATTCATTACTTCTAGCCAGAAATATAACTAAGAATTTAGTCATCAAAATGGACCCAACAGGGGCTGGGAAGGTGGCTCAGTGGTAGAGTGCTTGCCTTGCATGCATGAGGCCCTGGGTTCGATTTCTCAGCACCACATAAACAGAAAAAGACAGAAGTGGCACTGTGGCTCATGTAGTAGAGTACTAGCCTTGAGGTGAAGAGCTGAGGGACAGCGCCGAGGCCCAGAGTTCAAGCCCCACAACCAACAACAAAAAAAAAAAGGACCCAACATTAGGTTGGGTGGACATCTTATCCAGCACTTGCCAGGAATCTTCTCTCTTTACTACAATGTAGTAAGAACATATTCATGCAGGAGAGGATCATGTGCTTTAAAGTTATGCCTAAACAATCTGCTTGGTCTGTATTTCATCTAGGGGGAGCTGAGATTTGTCTATCAGCCTTAAGGAACACAGAATTTCTAGGAAAGGGGCGCTACTTTTGTGATGGAAATGTCAACTGGACTTGGAATATCGTTTTACCAAACAGTAAATATTTACCTTAAGAAGTTTACCTCTAGGAAGTGGCACTGTGGCTCAAGCGGTAGAGCGCTCGCCTTGAGCTAAAGAGTGCAGGGACAGCACCCAAGCCCAGAGTTCAAGCCCCACAACCGACAAAAAAAAAAAGGTTTACCTCTAGCAGGGCATTGATAGCTAAAGCCTGAAATCTTACCTACACAGGAGGTTGAAATCTGAGGATTCAGATTCAAAGCCAGCCCAGGAAGGAAAGTATGTGAGATTATTATCTCCAAATAACTACCAAACAACCTGCAAGTAGAGCTATGGCTCAAGTAGTAGAGCATTAGCTTTAAGCACAAAAGCTCAGGGGCAGCACCCAGGACCTGAGTTCAAGCCCCAGGACCAGCACAAAAAAAAAAAAAAAAAAAATCCTAGGCTTGTTTCAGCAGCACATATATTAAAAACTGGAATGATACAAAGAAGATAAGCATGGTACCTTCTCAAGGATGACACACATGTGTGAAGCATTCCATATTATTAAAAATAAAGTTGCCGGGCGCTGGTGGCTCAAGCCTATAATCCTAGCTACTCAGGAGGCTGAGATCTGAGGATCGTGGTTCAAAGCCAGTCCAGGCAGGAAAGATCATGAGACTCCTATCTCCAATAAACCACAAGAAAACCAGAAGTGGCGCTGTAGCTCAAGTGGTAGAACGCTTGCCTTGAGCTGAAAAGCTGAGGGATGGTGCCCAAGGCCAGAGTTCAAGCCCCACGACCGACTAAATAAATAAATAAATGAAGTTTACTCCCCCTTCTTTTCTGGACCCAAGTTTCCTTCCTTGACACCAGCCCCCCCCACCCCCCCGAACACACAAGCAAAAATAAAATAAAATAAAATACAGTTTACCCTAAGGCTGAGGTATGAATCAAGTGGTAGAGTACCTGTCTAGCAAACATGAAAGGCCTGACTTCAAATAGCATTTTAAAAAAAAAGGGGGGGGGGGCATCGGTGGTTCATGCTCATAATACTAGCTACTCAGGAAGCTGAGATCTGAGGATCACGGTTTAAAGCCAGCTGGAGCAGAAAAGTCCCTGTGAGACTCTTATCTCCAATTAACCACTTAAAACTGGAAGAGGCGCTATGGCTCAAATGGTAGAGTACTTTGCTAGCCTTGAGTAGGAAGAGCTGAGCTTGAACTTAGGGACAGCCCTGAGTTCAAGCCCCACACCAACCAACCAAAACAAAAAGGTTTGCTCCTAAGTTTCCTGTAGTGGCGCTGTGATTCAAGTGTTAGAGCGTTTGCTTTGAGCTGAAGAGCGGAAGGACAGTGCCCAAGCCCAGAAGTTCAAGCCCCACGACAGCCATAAATAAATAAATACAGTTCTCTCAATTATTGCTGGTTTGCTGAAAATTGCTGGAAATATAGCCAATAAGGTACCAAGACACCAATCTCAAGCCACATGACTCTAGTAGGTATTTAAAACTGTCAAATCTCCTAGTGAAATGAGAATCAGGTATTCATAGGGAGAAATGCATTAGACTTGGACTTGTTCAACAAGATGAGATTACTACTGAACAATTACTTTGAAACCTCCATAAGCCAATTATCTAACTTATTTTCATTTTAAGTGTTCAAAATCATAACTTATGGATCTTCAACTTATTACAAGAATATTAAATAAGGGGCTGGGAAGGTGGCTCAGTGGTAGAGCGCTTGCCTTGCATGCATGAGGCCCTGGGTTTGATTCCTCAGCACCACATAAGCAAAAAGAAAAAAGCCGGAAGTGGCGCTGGCTCAAGTGGTAGAGTGGCTAGCCTTGAGCTGAAGGGCTCAGGGACAGCGTCCAGGCCCAGAGTTCAGGCCCCATGACCGGACCCAAAAAAAAAAAAAAAGAATATTAAATAAGTTTACTTGTCCAGTTACAAAATCATTAATCTACGACCAAAATTCATCTGCAACACAGACTGGAATGCTCTATAAAAAGCCAAACAAACTGGGAGAGAGAGGGAGGGGGTGACACTGTCCAAAAAGGAACATATTCTAGCTGACTTACGTAACTGTAACCCTTCTCTGTACATCACCTTTTTAGTAACAATAAAAAGAAAAAGCCAGTGTATGTATGGCTCGATTGGTAGAGTGCTAGCCAATGAGCAAAAGCATCCTAGCCTGGAACCGAAAAATAGTCAGACAATAAATACTTTAGGGGCTGGGAAGGTACCTCAGTGGTAGAGTGCTTGCCTTGCATGCATGAGGCCCTCTGTTCAATTCCTCAGCACCACATAAGCAGATAAAGCCAGAAGTGGCACTTCGGCTCAAGTGGTAGAGCACTATCCTTGAGTTGAAGAGCTGAAAAACAGCACCCAGGCCCAGAGTTCAGGCCCCGTGACAAAAAAAACAAGACAAAAAAACCCTAAACTTTAGGCTCTTTATCATATTTATTTTAACTACTGAGTCCAACAGTTAGAAAGCAGCCTTAGATAATGTATGAATGAATATGGTTCTTACCAATAAAACTGTCTTTATGGGCACTGAAAACTGATTTCATATAATTTTCAAACATTGTAAAATAATCATAGTTTTTTTTCCAACCATTTACAATTGTAAGTAAGTCGGGCACTGGTGGCTCATGCCTATAATCCTAGCTACTCAGAAGGCTGAGATATGAGGATCATGGTTCAAAGCCAGCCCAGGTAGGAAAGTCTATGAGACTCTTATCTCTAATTAACTGCCAGAAAACCAGAAATGGGACTGTGGCTTAAGGGGCAGAGCACTGGCCTTGAGCTGAAGAGCTAAGGGACAGTGCCCAGGCCCAGAGTTCAAACCCCACCTGACAAAAAAAAAAAAAAAAAACACCTGTAAATTCACCCGGTGCCAGTGGCTCATACCTATAATCCCTGCTACTCTGGAGACTGAGATCTGAGGAGATCATGGTTCAAAGCCAGCTGGGGCAGGAAAGTCTATGAGACTCTTATTTCCTATAAGCTACCAAAAAAGTCAGAAGTGGAACTGTGGTTCAAGTGGTAGAACACTAGCCTTGCACACAAAAGCCAGATTGAGTTCAAGCCCCAGAATTAACACCAAAACAAAACAAAACTTGTAAATATCATTTAAATTCTTTTTAGCTCTGAGACTGAACAAAAATAGACTACAAGTAGAATATGACATGCAGAACCTTAATTTGTTAATTCCTATCTATAGTGTTTTATCTTTTTACAAAAAGTATAGAGAATACAACAATCATTTACTCTACATTTAGTTTAAGAAATACTGTATCACAAAACGTGTGGAAATGTTAACCATGAAATCCCTTCAGATTTACTAATGTAAGATTAGAAAGAACAACACAATGCATCACAACACTGAAGCTCTCTGAAAAACTAATCCTATATTCTCCCATTTTCCTCAATGGTAACCCAGTGTATGAAATTTAGTGAGTTCATTCCTATGATTTTTTTAAAAAATGTTTAATTATATATATCAATGTCTACATGAAATGTTGTGCTGTTCTGCAATTTTTTTAAAGGTTTATATTATATATAGTGCTCTGCAACTTTTAACCTTCACATTACCTCTTACACTTATCCAAGTAATACATGTAAGTAGATCAGGCATGTTACTTGGTAAATAGAATATCAACTGAGAATACAATTTATATAATTCCATTGCTATTTTCAAATATTCAAAAAATTAATCATGGACTGGAAAGGTGGCTCAGTGATAGAGTGCTTGCCTTGCATGCATGAGGCCCTGGGTTCAATTCCTCAGAACCACATAAGCAGAAAAAGCTGGAAGTGGCACTGTGGCTCAAGTGGTAGAGCACCAGCCTTGATCTGAAGAGCTCAGGGACAGTGCCCAGGCCCAGAGTTCAGGCCCCATGACCGACAAAAAAAAAAAAAGTCAATCATATATCATGTGCCTCCCCTTGAGATGTTCAACTTTCTCCCTACTCTCTCAGCAAGAGAGAAAGTACATTTAATTCTGTAAAACAATTCGACTGGTCTGAATATTCTTCTTTGATGTGTGATTTCTGATCCTTTATACGCAGTATGTCTCTGTTTATATCACACATGACTTTGTAATAGAGCTCCCATAGAATACTATTCCAATAGATAAAACATTTATATCACTGTATAGTATTTTTCTTCATATGGTGAAAATTTCATACATGTTTGTAAAATGCTTGCTGTTTTTTTCTTGATGTAAGAAAATGCTGGATTATTTCATTAATTTAAAAATCAACTGGGAAATAAATATCATTTTTCCTTTTGTTTAAAAAAAAAAGAATTTTTCTATATGCAAAAGCTAAAGTAAAGTTCTTCCCTTTACAGGACACCAGTGATTCATGCTTATAATCCTAGCTACTCAGGAGGCTGAGATCTGAAGATCCTGCTTCAAAGCTAGCCCAGGCAGGAAAGTCCGTTTGACTCTTACCTTCAATTAGCCACCAAAAAGCCAGAAGTGGAGCTGTGGCTGGTAAAGTACCAGCCCTGAGCATAAAAGTTCAGGCCCTGAGTTCAAGCCCCAGGACTGGCACACACACACAAAAACCAGATTTGGGGGTCAGCAGAGCACCCACCAACCTAGAAAGCATAAGACACCTTGAGTCCAATACCATGTACTGGAAAAAAAAAAAAGGCGGTGCTGGTGGCTGTAATTGTAGCTACTTAGGAGGCTGAGATCTGAAGATCACGGTTCAAAGCCAGCTCAGGCAGGAAAGCCAGTGAGACTCTTATCTCCAATTAACCTCCAGAAAACCCTAAGTGGTACTGTGGCTCAAGTGGTAGAGTGCTAGCCTTGAACTGAAGGACAGCACCCAGGTTGAGTTCAAGCCCCACGACTGACAAAGAAGAAGGAGGAGGGGGAAGGGGGGAGAAAGAAAGAAAGAGAAGAGAGAGAGAAAGAGAGAGAGAGAAGGAAGGAAGGAAGGAAGGAAGGAAGGAAGGAAGGAAGGAAGGAAGGAAGGAAGGAAGGAAGGAAGGAAGGAAGGGAAGGAAGGGAAGGAAGGGAAGGAAGGAAGGAAGGAAGGAAGGAAGGAAGGAAGGAAGGAAGGAAGGAAGGAAGGAAGGAAGGAAGGAAAGAAACAGCAGCTTAGTAGCACACACTTGTAATGCCAGCTACACAGGAGACATACAGGATATGGGTCCAAGACAAAAATCAGGATAACTGCCGGGCGCCAGTGGCTCACACCTGTAATCCTAGCTACTAAGGAGGCTGAGATCTGAGGATCACAGTTCAAAGACAACCTGGGGAAGGAAAAGTCCTTGAGACTCTTGTCTCCAATAAACCACTAGAACAGCGGAAGTGCCACAGTGGCTCAAGCAGTAGAGCGCTTGCCTTGAGCTGAAGAGCACAGGGACAGCAACCAAGCCCAGAGTTCAAGCTCCATGACCGACCAAAAAAATCAGGATCTAACTAACCCCGATTTTATCCTCAACTCCATTCCTGTTTAGTAACTTCAAGGACTTCAGTTCAAATCCCAGTATCACATAAAATTTAAAAAAAAACAAACCCAGAGGTATTTGCTTCTTAGAAAAACAAAA